ATATTTTAAAACATGGACCGGTTACATAAAAATACTTATTTCATTTCTCTTTGGGTGGGGGAGAAATCAGAGGCGTTAGCAACTCCAGCCCACATGGCAACAGTGGACTGAAGATGCTGTCCCATTTAGACAGGAACTGGGTTCTCCAGTTAGACACAGTCCAAAAGACACCCTGTTGTTAGTCTCAGTCCACTGCATCACTTTTTGCTGCCTGCCTTGCTTCTGTTGTTGTCATCTTGCTATCTGTAGAATGAAAAGAGATGATGCTGGAAAACCCAGAAATTCTGACTCTAGCCCTGGCTTTGCTACTAACTTTTACATGTCCTGCTATGTAAGGGAGCTCTGGTGGCCTAGTGACAAGAAGCTGCACTGCAATCCTGAAAACACAGTTTGAGGCCACCAGGAGCTCCCTGGGGTAAAGATGGGCAATCTCTATATATACTCACCCTCACTGAGACGCAGTTTTCTTCCCTGGACTAAGAAGGGCTTATACTAAATGACTTCTACTAGCTCTATAATTAGAATTCCGTTACAACAGTGGCCACAAACATGGAAAAGACACAAAGCAGGCTATTTCATACTATTCCCTAAGACCAGTATCTTGAAATGTTAGTTCGTTCCACTTTGAAGCTAATGAATTATCTAGTGAGCCTAAGATAGTTTAAAAAAGAAGTATAGGTTCTCCAGTACAGTATCTGGGCCAATTTACGTGGATTCATTACTCTCATTGTAATTAAAAGTCAGAAGGCTTTCTCAGATAGATATAATCACCTGCTGCCTTCCTTAACCAAGTTCATTCCTATTATGGAAATTTCTCAGATTCCTCCAAGGGATAGTTACCCAACCTCTGACTAAATAAAGAGTTCCAGAGCACAGAGCCTCGGGCTCTGGGCCTTCTCAGAGTATACAGAAAACACTGTCTAATGTAAGAATGGGGTGGGCTTTGGAATTTGTAAAAAGACATCCTGTCTACGCTAGTTAAATAACATACAACCAAGTCCAACAGATCACAGCATAATCGTAGCAGTGATTGCTTTAGCCACGAATGTGGAAAGTAAGAGCCTTTAAGTCACAGCTGAGTGACATGTTCTAGGACAGAGACAGCCTCAGTTAAGTCTAGACCCTGTTTAGCACTTGAAAAATTATGAGCTCAATAGATTTGCTTCACTGTAATTCCATTATCTAATTAATTCTCCTAAAGGCTCCTAAAAGTTGAGAGGGGAAAAAGGTACTACAAAAAGCCAAATATTACACATTGACCAAAGTATGAAGATTCACTTCAACAATATTTATTGTGCTCTCACTGTGTCCTAGGTATTGGAAACAAGCTTCCATGAACACAGAAGCCAAACATAAATCTCTGTACTTCCTATTCTCTACGTTAGATACCTCTGATAATCTATACAGAGAATATGAACAGACTTTTAAAAGCATTAGTTCTCTAACTGAACCAGTTAGATTCAATTATATTTCATCCTCTTTTATTCAAGGAAAACCATTAGTCAGAGAGGACATAGTACCCATAAGCTCTACCCAGGAGTCCTAGGTAATGCAGTTAGTGACTACTGACTGAAATAAAAATCCACAGAAGTTATGTTTGTCAAATCTGCACAGGAACAAACAAAAACATTCAATGTTTTTATCCTTATATAATCTGAAGGCAAAACCAACTATATATTATCAGTTACAGATCTAAAATCATCTCAAAATACCCTGTGTGATTCTGCTTGTGGTAACACTCACCACAATATATCTTAGTATACTGGATAATTAAAGTCTAGGCTGGTGGTCCTCAACTGGGGGTGATTTTGACACCCTGGTAGATATTTATCTACTGACACCTAGTGGTTAATGACCTTGATAAATAAGGGAACTTGCTAAATATCCCACAATGCCCAAAATAGAGCAGCACCCATAACAAAGAATATCTGATCAAAAGATCTGTAATGTCATCGTTGAAATATTCTGTCTAGATGGTTTTACATTTTGGTTGGAAGCTTCTGTGTCCTCTAAGACTTTTAAGGACTGTAGAGATAGGCTCTGTCTGAAGGTAACGCAACATCTATTTTTCTTCACTTCCTTTACTTTTCTCCTTCTACTACCTCCTTCGCCTATCCCCCATCCCTTTACACTAGGGGGAGAGAGTGAAAGGAGGGGAGCCTATTAAGCCCTTACTTTCAGTACATGTTCTTTATAGTTCAATGAAATGAGGTTGATATTCAGAAAGGCTGACAGAAAATGAAAAGTCTCTTTAGGGTATATTCCCAGTAGCGGAATTGCTGGGTCAAATGGTATCTCTATTTGCAACTTTTTGAGAAAGCGCCACACCGCTTTCCACAGTGGTTGCACCATTTTACACTCCCACCAACAGTGAATAAGGGTTCCAGTCTCTCCACAACCTCGCCAGCATTTGTATTTTTTTTAAGCAGCAAAGCTAAGGAATCCAGGTACTGTGGTCACCTCAAAGAGACAGCACTTATATAACTGGAGCCATCTAGTGGCTTCCAGTGTGAAGCTCAGCTAATCTAGCTCTAGAACTCTTAAAGTATAAATTCTGATTTGGGGTATAGATTTTCAAAGATCAAAGAACTGGTGCTTTTGAATTGTGGTGCAGGTTGAGTGTGCTCAATATGCAATGGACTGCCAAAAGAACAAATAAATCTGCCCTGGAAGAAACACAGACTGGGTGTCCCCTCTATAAGTAAGTGACTGTCTCACATATTTTTAAACATATTATCAGGAGGGGTCAGACCTTTGAATAAGACTGCTGGAGAAGGTAGAAGTTCGGTGACAAAGAAGAGCCTCAATGAGACAGACTGACACAGTGCCTGCAGCAATGGCCTTGAGCATGGTGCACATCAAGAAGATAGAGCAGGATAGGGCAAGGTTCTGATTGGTGTTAACAGGGTTGCTCTGAGTCATTTGTCGACTTCATACACTTCACAACAGTAGCAGCAATTAGGAGCTGCCAGTCTTTGGAAAATTACCATCATGTTGGGGTAAGTAGAGGGTCAGCAAAGGAAAGGCAGACAATCTTAAGGAGATGGCTTGAGACTGACTACAGTAATGGGTTTAAAGCACAGGGGAGATTGTGAGGATAGCTGCAGCCTCAGGAAAGGTGAGATTGGCAGCTGTGTTGCTATGAGCATCTAACAATAACAACATTTACAAAGAGGAAAATCTCTAAGCTGGAAAACGTAAGGTATAGTCCTAGCTTATTTACCATTTAATTCAATTCAACATGCATTTATTGTGCTTTTGGAATGCACTTAAACTACTGAGGAGGCTAGAGAGAAAAACTAGCTTCTGTCTTCAAAGAGTAGAGTCTCAGCAGGTTCCTAAAGAACTGTTTCTTTTATGTCCTTCACTTACAGCCACTTCTAAAGAAGTGAAGTATGTGAGAATTATATGTCAAAATTGGAAAGAAACTCAGTTGAAAGCATCAAAGAGAAGAAGCACTAACCATTAGCTAACTAAGTGTGAAGCGTAAACTTTGCTGCACTTGAGAATAATAATAAGCTGTACTGGCTTATTTTTTATTGGCATATTTGATAAATCTGTCTTTATAGTTGTCTTTATTCAGTTTGATTATTTTGACTAGTACAACTATTTCACTTCAGACAGGCACTTTAGAACTTCTATGGCTAAGTCAGACAGATGTAAAAAATACCCAAAACTCCCAGCTTCAAATCAACGTCAGTATTTAAATTCCCAATATTATAGATTAAATTGTATCCTCAAAAATACGGGCTATAAATTGTACCCTCTGTGCCAATGGCTATCATTTCGTTTGTGTTTGGATTGCTTTTGTTATAAAACAGATTAGTATAAAATATATCTTGAGTCAATCTCTTTTGAGATTGTTGTTTTCAAGTGTCATCAAGTATGACTTATGGCAACCCTATGAACAACTGATTTGAAGCCTGTCCTGTCCTGTGCCATCCTTACCATCTCTGACATCACTGAGCCCACTGCTGCAGTCACAGTGCCAGTCCATCCTGTTGAGGGTCTCCCCCTATTACGCTGTCCCTCCACCATCCCAAGCACGATGTCCCTTTCCAAGGAACATGTCCAGTGTATGTGAGATGAAGCTTTGTCATCTTTGCATTCAAGGAGCACTTTAGCTGCATTGTCTCTAAGACATAATTGTTTGTTCTTTTGGCAGTCCATGAGATAGACAAGAGATTAAACAAGCAATCAAGACAAGTAGAGATGGTGAGAGAAATGCTTAGCCACATGAGATCCTAGTTCTAGGGGAAGGCTTTTTCTGTCAATTCTGGATGAAGGTCCTTGTCACTGAGCTAACATAGAGAAAGTCTTCACCTAGAGCCCTCTGTATTCAGATTTGTATTCATCTAAACTGTGAGAAAATAAAGTTGTTTGTTAAAACTACCCACTGTGGTATCTCTGTTCCAGCAAGACTTAGAAAACTAAGACAGCCAGTAAGACTGTGAAAAGGATGGGCACTCACAGCTGGGGGTCTCCACTCTAGGCAAATGCTGGCAGTAAAAATGAAGAGTCAGTGTCTGGATTCTTCCCAAACAAAGCTGTTCAGCCCGTTTCATCCAAGAAAAAGACATCATCCCAAGAGACCACTGAGGACACATGCCTCTTGGATCATACATAGTAGGTTTCATTCATGATTGTACTTTATTGGTAGGAAAACGATCTCTCACCAGCAGGCTAGTGTTCTATGGATTACCTTCTTTCTTTTTGAAATGGCTCATTCTCGGAATCCTAAAATCTGTTTACAAACTTGCCAGAGCTAGACTGCTTAAATACTATACTGTGACCGACCTTATTTTGGGAGCATGCTCCTTTTGTTTCTAACAGCAGTTCTGGTGAAGAAATAACACTTATCAAGCAGAATATCCCCAGATATTCATTTGTCCCCCACCTCAGTTACTCATACCTGGCATGATGCTACCAAAGATCAGTACAGAAAAAACTAAAGAGGAAAGATGAGTGTAGGCAGAGATGGTAATAGGCAGAGTATTCACCTGGTCTCGATCGCCTGCAAAACAGCAGCTTTTCATGGTGCAAGAGTTGAAGTAGCCCTGATTGTCAAACTGGAATACAGGGAGGCGGGAGTGGATGTCATAGAGCACAGGAGGCAAGCGGCGTCGCAGGGCCAGCAGCTGGGTCCCGTTGCTGTTGAATCGCACACTCATGGCACTCTGGAGGGAGAGGTTGCCACCATAGCGCAGGAGAGAACTGCAAGGTAGAAAGCACAGGAATCAGGGAGATGAGACAGCCTGACAGAGGTCTGCAAAACACTCTGTAGTCACTTCCACACAGTCTGCGTGTAGGCCTGGCCAGCAGGCGTGTACATCTGGATGTCAGTAGAATGGTAGTCTATGCGGCAGGCTAAAACATAATAATGGAAATAGGAATGGCTTCTTGATTACATTATCACTTGTCAAAATTCTTTTCTATAATCTCCAAAAGGTGAACTGCCAGTAAATTCATAGGCAAGGTGAGACAAAACCTATTTGAATGAAGAGATGTAGACTCTTGGTTATTTATCCAAGCTAAATCTACAGGGGGGGGGAAATTTTCTCAAAATTTTGAGAAGTGAGCTGTATTCAATCAAATAGGCTAATTATAACTGCTTTTAAGGGAGGTATTTGTATTTGTCCTTTGAATTAGAGATAACCCTTTATTTTAGACTTGCAAGAACCATTATAAAAACCAGTATTTTATTCTGTATTTTTCTAATATTCACCTTATTTTAAAAACATAACAAATAATTAATTTTTAAACTTTTCATATGCTCAGAAGGAATGTTTATATTATATATGACATGGTTGGAGAATAAATAATTTTTTAAAAAACAACCCAACACAATAACCCCTAGGTGCCAACTACCCACCACATGAAGAATGGATAAAAACATTATGCTACATTCACACAGTGGAGAATTAAGCATCATTGAAAAATAATTACAGATTTGTGAAACACTGCACAACATAGATTACCAGAACTAATTACACTGAGTGACATAAGTCAGTTATAGAAGAGCAATTACAGTATAAGACCAGTAATAAAAAAAACTATCTGTCTATCCTCAGAATCAGTCTTAAAGGGTTAACAAAGACTAAGAGGCAAGTAATAAAGGAACAACAAACAACAAAAAGAATCCTAGGTGTCATCAAGTCAGTTCTAACACACAGAAAAAAAAATCTAAATTTAAATGTAAAACAAGTAGTGCAACACCTGGAAAAGCATGATTTGTTTGTCTTCACAATTTTTAACAAGTTCCTATCTAGTTTTGAAATAAATATTGGTTAAAATACATAGTTCTATTAATTTAAATTCACTAAGGAGTGGTACCTACTGATTCATTGGTCAGTCTTTTGAATTTTCACAATATTAAAACAAAATTAAAAATCATATGGTTCTAAATTTTTTCTTTTGATGAGTCAGAAGCTATCTGCAACACTACAGAGAATAAGGATGCATGCAATTATACAACGCTATTTTATTTAAAGTGGGAGAGGTGCATGTGCAGCCTCTCTAGTAGTCAGCATCCTTGACTATCTGAACAAAAGTTTACTATGGAGGATGACATCTCATTGTCTATGTCATAGTCAATTCCTTTTTTGTACTTCAGATTCAAGTCCTAGATTTACTGATAAGGTAAGAGAGCTTAAGAGTAAGTGTTAAGGGATGCTAGAACAAGAAATAAAAATGTAATCACTATTTCACTCTGTCTCTTGTGCATGCTATCAAGGAAAGGAAATGTGTCTAGAAGTTTGGAGTTTTAGAGGAAAAGTTTCTGAAGTCTAAGGAATCAGGAAGATTCTCAAGATATCTAATTACAGTCTAGCATATTTATGTAAAACGTTTTTAAGAAAGAAGTTTTAACAGCATTTTACCAAGCAAAAACTATGTATGTCATCAGCTGAGATTTAATACTGAATGAAGGCAATACATTTTCTTTCTAGGGGGCAAGAAAATGATAATAAAGGACAGCCTAAGGGAAGAATGGAGTTCCTGGGTAATGCAAACAGTTAAATATGGGAGTACTACTAGCCAAACAGGGAGTGCTTAATTGTAAGATGCTGTGCTGCAATCCAAAGGTACATTGTTCAAATCCACTAGCTGCTCCACAGGAGGATGGGCAATTTCCTCCTGTGTGATTTACCCTCTGAAAAACCACTGGAGAGTCAGTTATGGGTCAGTTCTGACTTGACAGCACCCAAAAACAAACTAATCAAAAGGCTAGCAGTTCAAACCTATCCAGAGGAGCCTTAGAAGTCTAAGTTTCTATGAAGATGGTGCCAAAAGTGAAGAAGGAGCCCCTGCCCCTCCCAAAACTGAAGCCTAAGCAAAGGTGGCAAAGGTCAAGGAGGCAGTCCTGAGGGGTATCCAGAGCCACAAAAAAAGGAAGATCTGCAAATCACCCACCTTCCAGTAGCCTAAGATGCTGAGGCTCTGAAGGCAGCCCAAATAACCCTAGAAGAGTGTCCTCAGGAGAAACAAGCTTGACCACTGACCACTGAGTCCACCATGAAGAAAACAGGATTCCTTTTATCAGCCCAGAATAAGATGTACACTGCAAAGAGGACTAGGGTGGTTGGGGAGGTAACTGTACCACAATAAGTGAGTAATTTTTAAAAGAGTGACCTGGAGGAGGGGGAAGAAAGGGAGAGGGTAAAATGTACAACAATGGATGAATGAAAAAAAATCTAACTTTTCTATAAACTTTCATTAAAATCACAAGAAAAAAACTTTATTACAAAAAAGATAACAGCACGCTTGTTTTCACTGTCAAAGCCAACAAGCAGCAAACCAAACAAGCTGTAAAGAAGCACTATCACACTGATGTGGCCAAGATCAACTCCTTGGTTAGGCCTGATGGAGAGAAGGCCTATGCTTGACCTGCTCCTGACTATGATGCTTTGGATACGGCCAAGAAAATTTGTTTAATCTAAACTGTGCCCAGCTGGCTAATTCTAAATAAAAATGTTTCTCACAAAAAGATGTTAAGGTCTAGTTAGCGGCTTTGAAAATCCGGTGAACAGTTCTACTTTTGCACACATGGGGACTCCATAAGTCAGAATAAACTCATCAACAACCCCCCTCCGCCAAAAACATTTAAAAAAAAAAAGAGGGAAGAAATACTCCTAAAACTATAATGCAGACTGCCAGCCTGGCCTGATCATAAAGACAGCCTCCATCAAGACTATCCACTTTCAGTCCTGTGTCTTCCAAATCTCATCAGAGGTTGAAGAAAGAAAAAAAATATTAATTAAACGTCTTGACTGTTCTGGTATTGCAGTTAGGTGTGTAACTGGTCAAAACACTCCTTAATCCTTTTCTAATCAAAATGAAAGGAAATGAGAAAAGAGAGAAACATAGTCCTTAGAATTCAAGTCATTAAGGAGAAGCCTGGTGTCCTTGCAAGTCTCAAGTAATAATCCCTGCAGAGAAATGTTCTCATAATGATCTGCAACACAGACCTCACTCACTCACATAGAGGGAATGAATGGCGGGACTGTTATAGCTCAGGCATTTCCTTTATAGGGTGCCCTAGCTGCCACAGGCATGTGGTGTTATCTAAACACTGCGCTCAAAAACAATGAGAGGCTTTCAGTTCAAGATCAGCATGGAGTGGGCAAATAAACCAGCTTCTGTAGGACTGAAGAGGAGGCGGGGAGGGAAGGCTGGTGGAAACAAGATTCAACAAAAAGGAACTTGGCCAGCTCCACTAGCCAAAGCAGCAGGGGTTTGCATCAGCTTGAGCATCCCTTATAGAAAAACTGGGCCTCTACAAACCCCTTTCCAACAGTTGACAGGAACTTCCTCTGATGATTTTGATCATGTTTGTAGTGGGCTATGCCCAGGAGAGGCATCCAGGTCCATCCCGTCCCTACTCAAGCTCCTTCATCCACTGAATAAAACCTGACCACTCCACAGGAATATGTCTGTGGTCGTCAGCACTGCTGTGCTCCTGGGCAAGGAAGTTTTACCTCTCACATAAACAGGATAGGTAGGAATCCTGCTGCTGCAATGTTGAGAGGTAATAAGTCTTATCTCTCATACAGACAGGATAGACAGGAATCCTGCTCCTACAATGTTGAGAGGTAATACCTAAAAAGCAGCAGTTATCAAAACCAAATACTGCATGTCAACGGTCACTGTCCTTCTGGAGGAAAAGAATGAAAAGTAAAATCTAGAAAGTGAACCATGTTACTTATCATTTCTCCACATGCATTATGTAGCTGACTACTCCTGGTGAAAATGGCAAAAAATTATTTCAGTATCCAAGGAAAGAAGACTTAGAAGTAATTTCCTCTCCTAGTCAAGTTATAATACAAAGATTCTATAGTTTATGCTTGTAGTCCAAATGAAAAATAATTAAGGATTACATTACATACATACATGCAACCCATTCACTCGTTGCCGCTGAATCAGAACTAACTCATAGCTGGCCCCTCCCAGCAGGTGGTGGTTGTGCAGTCAGTACAACTCACAGTGACTACAAACTACAGATGTGAACCCTGTCCTATCCTGTGCCATCATTCCTCCTCATCTCTGACACACTTAAGCCCACTGCTGCTGTCAATGAGTCAATTCATCTCATTAGTCTAATTACAGAAATGGGTCCAGAAATCTGTCTTTAAAGTAATCCAAATTAATTCTGTTATTGGTAACTTTCAAACCCTACATGGTTCCATTTTGAAACTGGGCAAGGAAGGAAGGACAAAGAGGGAAAGTTAATTGGCATATTAACAGAGACTCAAAAGTCAAGCACATGATATCACTTTTTAATAGCCCTATTTTTTGTTAGCAGAAAGAACTCTAATTCCTTTCAAAAGAAGAATTTTACTTAAACAACAGTGCCAACAATTTTTTCTTCTTGCCCTCAATGTATTTCCTGAAGGAGAAATTTCCATTTCCTCTTTTAAGAACTGAGGGTGCCTGGACACAACAAGAATGCCTCAATTTTTACTTGCTTTCTGGACTCTAATCTTAGTAATAGAGATAGCACCACCTCAGGTTCCCCAGAGAAACAGCTGCCATACACACAGGAGACTAACAACAATCCTGAAAGGGCTGGCAACAAATTAAAATGAGTTACATTCACTCTGTGAAGCAAGCTTAAGTCTGATACCAAAGCCAGGCAAAGATACTGCTGAAAAAGAAAATTATAACTTGCAACCAGAGAATAATGAATGAGACCTTCTAAGAATCAAATCTCTATGCAC